ACCCTGGACCCTCAATCCTAAGCCCTAAACCAGGGATGAAGGTCCATGTGGCAGGAATGGATAGCCTCCCTCCCTAAACCCTAGCTGTAACTCCTACATATGAGCTGTAGTCTAAACTCCTTAAACGGGGATTATATAGGGGATTGTATAGGGGACTACTATAGGGGTTATTAAGGGGGATACTAGGAGTTTAGACAGTGGCTCATATTACGTGTTCAGTTCTAACACACCTTAATTCTTAAAGCCTATCCCAAACCTCAAGCTCTTAAGAATGTGCTATGATAGAGTAGTATGCCTGTTTCTATACCTTAGTCCCTAAACCCTAAACCTCAAGCCCTGCTGACCATGCAGAATGGCGGTTCAGGGTTTAGGGTTTCAGGGTACCTGGACGCGGGGAACGGAGAGATGGCAAGGGGTGACGAGATTGGCCTCGATGAGGGCGAGATGGATTGAGCACTTTTCTGCGTGGCTTTCTTGGCGGTCAACCTGGCCAGGTGACAGGCATGGTAAACCCTAAACCCAAACCCTGTACCATAGTAGTTTCCATTTTCTTTTCCATTGTCCCTATATAACCCCTATATAATCCCTATACCCTAAACCCTAAATAGTAGTTTCCATTTTCTTTTCCATTATCCCTATATAACCCCTCTATGAGCCTACCTGAAGCAAAGAGAGGATGAAGTCATCCTCAGGGCAGGCGGCCAGCCAGGTCTCATATGGGGTTTCCTAAAATTTGGCGTACCTTTTTGGGGGTCCCTATAATAAGGATTCTAGTATATTGGGGTCTATATTGGGGTCCCCTTATTTTTGGGAAACTACCATATGGTGCCATAGCATCAGCAGCAACAGAAGAGACTTTGGCGTTAGAGAAGCAGGGCACAACCGGGGTTGCAGTGGGGACTGGTGCGAACTCGGCATGACGTTTGTGCTGCAGGCGGAAATGAGTCCGACAAAAAAGAAAGCATCAAGCCCCGGACAATTATGTCAGCAACCCTAAACACCTAAACCCCTCAACCCTATGTGGTAGTTTCCATTTTCTTTTCCATTATGCCTATATAACTCCAATATATACCCTATAGACCCCTGCAAAAGCAGTAGCCTTTTCTTTTTTCATTCCTCAAGCCCTGAACCGTAAGTACCATCTTCCATCGTCTTTTCCATTCCTTCAGCAGTCAGGAATTGGAGCGCCTGGTTGCGGAGACGGCTGCTCCGAACGGAGGAGGCTGCGTTGCTGCTAAGGAATTAGCTTTAGGGTTTGGGGTGCAGGGGGTAAAGCTAGGCTTACATAACATGGATATGCCGGTTAGATGCGGGTTATACTGGGTTTGGGGTCACGTTAACATGGAGACATGATTAAGCTTAGATTAGTCATATGGATATACGGGATATAGACAGCATATGCAGGGTTTAGGATGTAGGGTTACCATATCATGGACATATATATATATATTAATGTACATCTAAATATCTTTATCTATCTATATATATATATACATATAGATATAAATAGGTATATAGTGTAGACAACGTGGCTTCCCTAAAGCCTAAATTCAACGATATCCAAGGCAAAGAATATCTCAAAATTCAGATTCAAATCTGAAACCCTAAACCCTGAACCCTACACCCTGAGCCCTGAAGCCGAATCCTAAACCCTAAACCCTAAACCCTAAAGCCTATAAACCCAGGCAAAGAAAAGCTGAAATTTCAGATGGGGGACGCAGTCGAGTACTTCAGCCCATCCTACAATCAATGGCTGCCCGCCAAGGTGATTGCGGTCAAAGGCAGGGGCCGGCTAAGTAGGGAAGGGTTTAGGGATTTTAGGGATTTAGGGTTTTTAAGGGTTTAGGGATTTAGGGCTTTTTAGGGTTTAGGGATTTAGGGTGTTTTAGGGTTTAGGGGTTTAGGCTTTAGGGTTCTAGGGTTCAGGGTTTAGAGTTTAGGGCTTAGGACGCAAGTTATGAGCATGCAATCTGGGAATAATGGAGACTCAAATGGAGAAGATGCAGCTCGAAATGACACTTAGGGTTCAGGGTTTACGGTTTAGGGTTTAGGGTTTAGGGATTATGTAGGGTGCTATACTCTAGGTTGGGGAAAGCCTACACCCTGAACGCTAAACCCCCTTGAACCCTAAGTCGCATCTTCAAGTTTGTAGCCAGCTAGTTTTCCACTGTCTCCTACAAAATAATGAGCGCTCAACCCTGAGCTCTAAGCCATAAACCCCTTAGGAATCTTCAACCCTAGGCCCTAGACCGTGAAAACTTACGCCTAAGACCCTAAAGCCTAAAGCATAAACCCTAAGCCCTAAACCCTAAGCCCTACGCCCTAAACCCTAAGCACTACGCCCTAAACCCTGAGCCCTAGGCCCTGAACCCAAAACCCTAGGCGACCTGTACGACTTGAACATCCGACCGGACGTGGCCGCAGATGCGCTCCGAGCGGCACTCCCTCAGCCTCACGGCCTTTCACTGGTGGAGGTCGGACTTCGGGGACCATATAGGGGTTATATAGGGGTTATATAGGGCTTATATGAGGGTTATATAGGGCTTGTATAGGGGTTATATAAGGGTTATATAGGGGTTGTATAGGGGTTATATAAGGGTTATATAGGGGTTATATGGGATAAGGGAAAAGAAAATGGAAACTACTATATTATTTATAGGGTTTAGGGTATTGGGTTTAGGGCTTAGGTTAAAGTTCAGGTTGAGAGATTTAGGGATTTAGGGTCTAAGGTTTTGTGTTTAGGGTTTAGGGTTCAGGGCTTAGGGCTTAGTATGAGTATGATTGGCTACTGCTCCACCCCAGTATTCACTAGGGCTAACATTATGTTTTCGTAGCTGTGGTCTTGTTGTTCTTTAACTATGACTGGGAGGGTCAGGGAGACTTAGTAAGTAGGTTACTAACTCCTACAACCTATATAGTAACCCTAATTATCCCCCTTACTAACCCCTATAACCTATATAGTAACCCTAATTCTCCCCCTCACTAACCCAAGTATTAAGTCCCGCTGACCCTCCAAGTACTGGAAGGGGGCCTTGGTTGATATAGGGGTTTCCCAAAATTAGGGGTACTTTTTTGGGAGGGTCCCTGGAGTAAGGAGTATTTGATATATTAGGGTCTATGTTGGGGTCCCCTTATTTAGGGAAACTACCATATAGGGTCTAGGGCGAGTTTCGGAAAAAGGGTGTACCTTATGCATACATGTGGATGACAAAGGGATTCACGTGGTGGAGTGGATTGGGATTGGCTTGATGACCCCTCAGGTGAGCGAACAGCGAGAGGAGAGGCGGGCCTACACGCAGAAGTACGAGCGAGGGGATCTCGTCCAATGGTGGAGCACCAGGTGTGAGTTCATCAACATTCCCCTGATACAGTCCTTGACAGGGACCCCATAGAATCCCCATGATACCTCTTGGGTACCTTTGGCATCCCCTTTTTGGAGAAGCCCGCAGGTACAAAATGTGGATGGATGCCAAAGTCATGGTTGCTAGGTCTGATGGGACTTATATGTTGGACGTCACACGCGTTGCCACGGAGGATGTGATGCGCAAGCCTCAGGAGGGAGATCGTTACACACCCCCAGGACCTCCGTTAGCCCAGGAGCAGGACTTGGCTCCAGCTCCTCCAGCTCAGCACAAGTTTGCTGTTGGAGATGATGTCGAAGTCAAGACCATGCACCTGGATCAATGTTAGGGATCCTCTATGCTTTGTGGATAGCTGCGTAGAAAAGATCCTTTGTCTTCCTAAAGCCTAAATCCTAAACCCGGGTAATGTGGGCTAAGGCACAACGGGTGGATTCCCGACATGGTGATGAAGCTTAATCCTGATGGCACCTACGACTTGATAACACAAAGAGGCACGAGTTTCTCAAAAAGGGGGTTTATTGTTTAGGGATTTAGGGTTTAGGGTTTAGGGGTTTAGGGTTTATTGGTTTAGGGTTTAGGGGTTTAGGGGTTTAGGGTTTAGGGGTTTAGTGGTTTAGTGGTTTAGGATTTAGGGGTTTAGGGG